CGAACGAAAGTGCCCATGTATGAAAGGCCATCATTACCACCACTATCTCTGGCGCTATAACACATATACTTGTATAAATACACGTGATATATGCCGGTATAAAAAACAGTTTTAGATAATTGTCTTGCTATCCTTGAGGAAGGAAAGTGATGGGGAAATCTTTCGCCCTATCCTTAGTCGGTGGCTGTCCCCCTATGTCATGGCCCTAGCATTGAAATTTGGCAATTTCCTAATGGCCAATAAATGCTCTCAAATCCAATCTCAAGGTTCACGACTCTTGCTCATGTACCCCCCGTGGTTTTCTGCTTCATCTCTATGCAGTCCTAGGCCTTATCGCCGTTCCATTAAATCGCGGGTAACCGTTGCCTGAGTCCATTGTCACCATTGACCTACATCCGTCTGAAACAAATTTTGTGACAAATAGTCACGCGTTACAGAAGAGGTCATTCACCCTGTATTCGTCGGCCTTGCCGAAATAATTAGCTGACTCGTTTTGCTGCGGATAATAAGTAAGTAAGTAACACCTAATTCCAACGATGTCGCGAGTAGTGCATGGTCTTTCAGGAGCCACAGCAAACAGTGGTGTTGTTAATGTATCAGCTTACTACGCCTCTGCGACAAAAGCCCCGCAGCATGAAAAAAGATCAATATGTACTACACGAACACGCTTTATCCATTTTAGTATCCAGTACAATGGACAACCATTTAAGACCACAGTGTGACGCATAGGCTGCCATATAATCTACATACCGAAATGACTAAACAGCTTCAGTGGCAGCGACCAGCATGGACCGTACTAGAGATATTCGATCAGTATATACGGTGCTCCTGCTCCTTGCATTTTCACTATGCTCTTGCTTCTTATATTTCCAAAGACCACATCAAAGTAATGGCCACCCCAGTGAGCCAGTATTAAGCATGGAAACAACTTATGCCTATCCTTTAGGCGTTGATCCAGTCATCTACAACCTGCCCGACGATGGCACCGCCAATACGAGCAACCTTCGCCCAACACAGATTAGAGGCCGCATTTTTGTGCCCCAGAGCCTGGGCAGAGATGGCTCGACTCCAATAATTGTCCTTTTCCCCGGTAGGCATGCTGATTGTCGGCACTTCATAAGTGTCCCAGACTTCGGGCCATATCCCATGGACAACGAATTTGTCGACAATGAAGGAAACTGCCCAGAAGGCTCCACGATTGTGGAAAGCTATCGCGGATTCGACTATCTTGGCCGGTCGCTTGTTGCTGATGGTTATATTGTCCTTTCGATGGATCCGCTAATGCTCAATAGAAACCAGGAAGTTGCGGAGGACGCGTACTTGATCAGAGCCCGGGCTCGGCTGCTCTTGCGTACTCTGGAGAAGCTGGAACTCTGGAATAAAAGCCCGGACGAGAGCAAAAGGATACTCGGTAGAGATATTTCTGGGTCTGTTAATACAACAGCCATTGGTTTGATGGGGCATTCACGTGGTGGCGCTGCCGTCCGGGTAGCTGCCAACTTAATTATGACACCAGGGTTACTAGGGTTTAAGGAAAGAATTAGCTGGTCTTCGAAGCTAGATTCCAGAATAATGGCTGTTTGGGAAGTGTCTCCTTTTGATGGGCCTGAAGGGGGGGAGAGTGTGGCTGTTGTCGGACCAGCGTGGGGTCTCCTCGCATCGGGCTGCGAGGATGACTTAGTCAACTTTGGTAAGGGTTGACCAGTGCACATTCCACATACCAGTATCTGAGGATGCTAAGGTTCTGCCAGTCATTTCCACATCCCTCTGATCTTCTGTCATTTTAGCTCGGATGTATTTTTTTTTTCTTGGTATATTGCTGACGGCCGTGATAATAGCGTACTTGAGCCTCTATCGGCGGCAATCGCGTCTCAATGGTGCGCCAAACTACTTTGTAACCGCATATGGTGCGAATCACAACTTTTTCAATACCGAGTGGTCGAAGGTATTTAATTTCTGCTTAGGGGATCAACAGGTTACATATGACCCCTTTGCACCTACATTTCAATACCCTCTGGGAAAGGGACAAAGCATAGATGTCCCGCTTGTGATGCAATCCAGTTCCCAGCAGGGGTTGCTAGAACGGACACTCTCTACATTTATGAATGCCCACCTTGGTGGTAGGACTAAAATATCGTTTGCAAGCGAATTGATATCAACGGCAAAGTATGTGCTGCTCTCTGCGAATCTTGGTTGGTGATACCGTGATCTGTGCTAACGGTTCAAGGAACTCCCCTCACGGCGTAGTGTCGAATGTCGAGATCGGGTTATCGAATCCCAATCTGGCATCTTCAAGAATCCTACAGTCGTTCGCCAGTACTAGCGGTATTGTGATTTCTCCGACAAGTGACCAATACGTTTGCTCCTTCATGGATCACGCTAAGAACCAATTTCCTTCCTTCAAAGAAGACGTAAAGAAGTTCGGTTTGCCGCGTAACCTTGCTACCACGAAAATAGCAACACCGCTGCAGCTGGTCACCGATGCAGATTACGATGACGGCGTTGTAGTGGGCCTGCCTCTGGCGAACTTGTCCTCTATATTCGTTCCCTTTGACAATACCATCCGTCCAGTGACCAGCACCGACAACTGCGAAATTCAGATTGACATTGCTCGAAGAGACCCATGTGTTCATGCTGCTTCTGGAGTAGCTAATGACTGTGGCGGGCCGCAGACGCTCAATGTCCAAGTCTATGCCGGCAATACAATGTCAAACACGGTCTCATTGAAATCCCGGTATAGCGTTGAGTTTGCTCCATACGATGTGAGTTCTCCATTGTCCTATTTTGATGTCGATAAACTATGTGGATTGATACCATGCTTATCCGCCTACACACCCGCCCTCTGTCTGAGCCTCGCTAATATGGGGGGCAGATGCTGTCGGCAGACTACAGTGTATCTGACATGGCGCTCCTGCGGGTTGTGTGGGAAACCGTGTCACTGAAATGCCCAAAGCAAAATGACGGAGCCGGTCTTAATATAACAGTCACGGTTCCACCGGGTGAAAGAGCTCTACCGAGGACGAAGGCGTCATTTTTGTACCTGGGAACAGTCCGCCAAGTCATTGGAAGAAGTGTCAGATTGCATCGTGCGGGTGATGAATAACACTGTGCCCGGTCTCCAACCGTAGGGCTTAGAACAACAAAGATTGGATGCCCTCAAAATGATGGATAAGGTCGTCTTCATTGATTGAACAGGAAAATCTTGGTGTAATCGCTAATTGTCACCATAACTGTTGTGAATGGACAAAGATAGCAGAAAAACGCCATACTGAGGGGTAAAGGCTCGGACGAAAGGAAGTACTTGGTATTTAAAGAGCCTGCTAAAAGAGTGACCCAAAAAGACAGAACGAGCATAATCAACTGATTTTACCCGATAGACAGTATTCCCAGTGATTTGTGCCGCCGTATTTCTGACAATTAAGAGTCTCATTCGCATCTCGAGCCACTGGCACAACACGTATGAGATACGATTGTCACGTTATGAGACTCATGCTAACTAAGCTTCTTCATAAAATTAAGGCAATTAATAGGGGTGCTACATCAAATTACTACGCGTGCTACACCTTACGGGTGCTACACTTTTTCCAGGCTCCAATTGGCCTAAAATGGGACCAGCTGGCGGTCGACCCCACACAAAGCGGTGAACACAATTGCGCTACATTACGTTCTAACAGTTGACGAACTACCTACTGAGTGTGGCCCAACTCATTTTTGGCTGCATTCCGTCATGATGTAGCCTAGCCAGCGACGGATGACCAAAAAATATTGGTGTCCGGACAATGGCCGCGGTTGCATTTGTGTAGAAATTGATGAAGCTAATTGGACTTTTGCGACGGCTGATGTTGGCGATATTAATAGTTGGTGAAAGCATTGTAGAGCTTCAAGGCAAAGTACTCGACAAGGTAGGGCAATGACGATGGAAATAGTGTAGATGAAGCAACGTGCTGAGAGGTTGGCGTTTTGGCGGGCATATGGCAACCAGTGGCAGAATTTAGTACCTACCTCCTGCACTAACAGATCTGATTCGGGCCAATGAGAGGCTTCAAAAAGTGTAGCACTCGTAAGATGTAGCACGCGTAGTAATTTGATGTAGCACCCCTATTAATTGCCTATTCTTGTTGTTCCGAGTGCTGCAGACTCCGTCTGCAGCTCTCTATTTAATATTAAAAACTTCCTTTCGTCCGAATCCGTTTTTCGGTAACTAAAGTCATGATAACCGACATTATGACAGATGGAAATTACACCAAGTTTGCGTGTTCTTATCAACAGAGGCAGTTTTATCCGACAACGATGGCACCCACAGAAAAACCATGCAAAATGATCCTCTAAGGACCAGACGAGTGGGAGTCCTGGAGTGAAAAGTTCAAAGCTCGAGCTATCAGCGATAATATCTGGAAATATGCCAATCCAGACACAGATGATGAGCTTGAGGCAGGGTGTCCTTCCAACCAAC